ATGCACACGACACAGCATGGCATAGCATGGATGCACTGCACTGCACCGATGCCATGTCATATGGTATGTTTGCTGTGTGTGTCGTGCCTTCAGAGTCCAACAAGAGCGGTTTGAAGGGCGAGGGCAACTTCGCAACCGGCGAACACGGAAACAAATATATCCGGTACGAACGAACAGAGAGAGATATACACTGCATGCCATGCTCACGTTGAACCAACCAGAGGAATGCCATGCGTGTGTGTCTGTGCTGTGCGATGTGATGTGATGTGATGTGTAGTTTCGGTGTGCGCGAGCACGGCATGTCAGCGATCGTCAACGGATTGTTTGCGTACGGTGGGTTCCGCCCCTTCTGCGCCACTTTCCTCAACTTCGTCACATACGGATGGGGCGCCGTCAGACTTACCGCACTCTCCAGGTAGGCGACCCATGCACTTATTTCATGGGCGCCGCGCCGTGCCGTGGGGTGTGTGGATGATGCATCCATACCATGGGTGACGGACGGTGTGGTGTCTTGTGTGTGCACTGCAGGTTTGGCGTTCTGTACATTGCCACCCACGACTCCATAGAGTTAGGCGAGGACGGACCCACACACCAGCCCATCGAGGTCAGCCAGCTGAGCTGCTTGCCTTGCTGGCTGTAGGAAGGGAAATCTGTGTGTCCATCCATCCATCCATCCATCCATGTGTGTGTGTGGTCAATCAGACCATCCCGTTGATCCGCGCCACGCCCAACATGCTGATGCTCCGCCCTGCAGACGGCAACGAAACTTCCGGTCAGACAGACACACAGACACACACGTCCTTCCCTTCTGCATCTGTGTGTGTGTATGTTCAGGCTCGTATGCAGTGTGGCTGGAGAATCGCACCCGCCCCAGCGTCATGGCCCTCTGCAGAGGGGGTAAGAGTTAGTTGAGCTACGCATTCACCCAGCCGTCCATCCATCCATCCATCAACCCACCCATACTCACAGACGTGGCATGGCGTCTTCTATGTATGCGCGTGTGTTTCTGTCCGTCTGTCTGTCTGTCCGTCTGTCCATCCGTTCATTTCATTGATCAGCTGTGCCTCAGTTGGAGGGCAGTTCGTTCGACAAGGTGGCCCAGGGCGCCTACGTCCTGCAGGACTGGTCGGCCGGCAACACCGGCAAACGAGTGAGCGACAAAGAGCCACACACACATGCATGCATCAGCCATCGAGTGATTGCCATGTCCTCCTCGCTCTCTGCCTCTCTCCCCATGCATCCATCGATCAGGCGTTGTTGGCTGGCTGCGGCAGCGAGTTGCACCTCGCCGTTGAAGCCAAGAAGCTGCTCATGGACAAGGGCGTCAGTGTCCGCATCGTCTCCATGCCCTGCTGGGACCTCTTCCGGGAACAGGTACACACACACACACAATTTACTTCCCCTTCCGTATTATCATATGTCGTGTGATGTGATACGTGTGGATCAGTCGGCCGAGTACCAGAAGAGCGTGATTCCGGCTGCCGACCCCAACCTGGCTCGCGTGTATTTCGAGCCGGCCTTCCCCCTGGGCTGGGAGCGCTACTTCGACGACTGGGTTGGCATGGAGACCTTCGGCGCGTCCGCACCCAAGTAACCCAACCCGTTCTTGCAGACTCACACACGTGCAACAGGCTCATCGGGAAAGTGTGGTTGGTTGGTTGGTGTCTGTCTATCAGGAAAGACACGTGGGCAGAGTTTGGGTTCTCGGCTCCGCACATCGCCAACCTGGCCCTCAAGAAGCTCGACCTGCCCACCGTACCAGAACCAATGGGTACGTATCTGATCTGGGTGGGGGTGGGCACACAAGCGCGCGTGTCCTGGCTAATCTCTTCTCCCCCTCTCTGCTGTGCCTGGGGTGTGTGTCTGCAGTCACCAGCCACGCCTAAACACACATACACATACACACACCACTCGCACATCCACATACGTGCAGTTTGTCGCTGGCTGGCTGAAAGGGCCCGCCACATCCATGCCATGCACTGCCATGCACTCGCCCGTCCGTCTTTCTTCCTGTGTCTGTCGATTGGCTGGATTTTCGCACTGCCTGGCCGGATGATCATTCAATGTCCCCAGTTTCTCTGTGTCTGTCTCTGTTGTCTCGTCCGGTTGGCTGCCCGCCCGTGTGCACACCGTGACTGTGCGGGAGTTTTTTTCGCAAGTGACTGAATGGCCGGTTGCCTGCTGGCATGGCGTCGTATGACTGACAAGTGGATGGATAAATGGATGGACTGCTTTCTGGTCGTTGGTGTACATCTCTCTCTCTCTCTCTCTCTCTCTGCCTTTTGTCGATTCGATGAGTGAGTGAGCAGCTATTAGGGCCGGCTGGCTGACCGCCTGGCTGCCTGCAGTGGTGCTCTCTGCTGATATGATGGCTGGCCAAGAGATATGGAGGGAAGGAGCCAGGGAGGGATGGGCTTGTTTTGAATGCACAGAAGGGACAGACAGTCAGGGGTGGACGAGGGGATGGATGGATGACTATCGCTATCGACCTAACTAACTTACGCGGGGATTATTACGTTGACACACTGAAAGCAGCGACCACGGGGTGTGGCGGTGTTGCATTCATCTCATCCATCCCAGAAACAGGACTGATAAAGTCGGATCACGTCGTGCAGGCAGAGCGAGTCAGGGAGAGTCTCACGCGCACATACCACCACGCAAACAGCGTGGATCCACCTCACACACGCACAGATGGAGAGAGCAAGGTATGAGACAGAAACGAGGCAGCATCGGCATCATCTCCTGGCTGCCTGCCTGCCAACAAAAAAAGTGGTATTACACATCATCCATCATGGGTACATACTGTCACCCGCCCCCATGCAAGGAAGCATCGACCGCACCGCTGGGCCGCCATAAAAGCTCCCCGTAGGCACATGTGTGGGGTGGGATACAGGCAGTATCTGGCTGCCTGCCCGCCTGCCTGGTGGTGGTGGGTCTCCGCTTCTCACGACGGACGCCAGCAAGGACCCACATGTCAGTCATCTGTGAGCCCTTCGATCCGGCATCTTATCTTAGCAGAAGCAGAGACCCCTCACCTACCCGCCATGCACTTCACCAATACAGGCTACGAACCAGGTGCACTGCCTGGCAGTGAGGGCGCTTCCCCTACCGACACGCACCCCGACAAGGACACACAGATCGCTTGTGAGCCCCTTCCAGGATACCAATGCCCCCCAGTGCCAGGCAACACCAGAAAGAGCGAGTGTGGGTCAAGACAGAGCTCGACTCCACTGGCTGGCACGAAGGGCAGGCAGCAAGGCGGGAGATTATGTATAAGCGATAGAGTTAGACAATAGACAGACAGACAGACAGAGCGGAGAGTTTGTCGTCATTCGACAGACGCACAACGGCAGAACCACCCACCGATCCATCGAAGGAACGAAGGAAGCTGTCGTGCGCGTCTGTCGAAAAATACTGTGTGTGTAGTGTATGTGTGTGGGATGTGGGATGAGATGACGGACGAGGGGAGAGTGGGAGGAGCTGTACACAGTCGCTTATAGCGTAGCTATGATGACAGTACATTACGGAGTCAGTGGCCACAGAAAGGTACGCAGGCACGCACACATGGGGCGGGAAAGACAGACAGACAGACACACGAACGACCAGAAGCGAGGCGATCCGTGACAACTGAGGGCAGGTGGGCCTCTCTCTGCGTCAGACCATCCAGGCACGCAAAAACGCAAAACGCACTCACGGTGGTGGTTTGGCGGGCGGCAGCCACGAAATCACACACGATAGAAATCTCAGCAAGTCGGTCACTCACCCGCTTGATAAAGAAGCAAGAAGACCTACACGGCACGGCTCACATACACATACACACATGACGCAAGGAAAAAGATCCTGCTTCAACGCAACGTTCCCTCCACACGATACTACAAGACACGGATGGCATGCAGTGACCTCCCCTCGTCCGTCAGCATAGCACAAGCCTCTCAACAGCCACGTACGGCACGGCAAACAGGCAGGCAGGCTGGCGGAGAGCCACCCCGTGTCGAAGTGCCAGGCCAACCAGCTGCCTGTCTGCCTGCCTGCCAGCCACTCTCCCCTCTCACCAACGCAACGTGCCCCGGTGATGAAGCCAGCCGGCACTCGTATGTGGCTAGAAACACATTCACATGCAGACTGACAGACAGACAGACAGTCACTGCCCCGCCCCTACTAAGGCGCACTCATGCACACACCCAGGATACATAGTCAGTATGAAAGCCAAGCCACCCCACCCACACACCATCCAGACGACCGCTCGTTGATTGGATTGGCTCAGGTGAATGAGGGGTAGGGTCGAGCCAGAGGGCGGTAGAAGGGACGCTCACCTGAGAAGCCAACACACACACCAGGCAAGCAGACACGATGCATGTCATGCATGCGGGTCATTCCTCACGTCCGTCTGTGTAAGGCCTACCGAGCACTTCGGCGCATGGGTAAGGTCCGCATCTGGTCACCCTGCCGATGTTGCGGCCGATGTATCTGTTGGGCTGCTGCAGGCGGCGCCTGCGGCCCTTGCTCGTGTCCTCAGCCACCTCGCGCTCGAAGGGCGCGCTGAAGACCACCTTGCCGTCGGCGTCCGTGATGGCGTAGCCATCAAGGTCGACGGTCAGCTTCGAGCCGCCCGACAGGTGCAGCGTCGTGGTGTTGTCGGTGCGGGTGATGAAGTCGATGCGATACAGATTCTCGGCGTTCTCGCCAACCTGAAGGGAAATCACCCAGTGCATCCACCCGGAGGGTTATGTGCTTGCGGCTGTGTAGGTGTGTGGGTACCGGTATGATGACGGTCTCGACTGTCTCGAAGTCGGTGAGAGGGGAGGTCAAGAAGTCCCCCAGGTTGAAGCGGTCGCGGGCCGACCGGGTCCGGATGGGCACCTGCTTGCCCTTCACCATCAGAACGTTGGCGTCGTTGACAGAGGTATCCTTCATCACTGCACACACGCACACACACACACACACACACACACAATGAGAGTGCGTTCACAGTGCCTCCTGCATCACATGCGTACCTGAGATGCCGGCAATGACGAGAAGCAGGACGATGGCGAGCGTGACGAGGTAGCCGATGCCCATGGCGGCAATCCCGCGCCACAGCTTCCTGTTGGTCTTCTGCTCACTCACCATCTGCACACATCACAAAACACACAACACACAACACAATGTGTCTCATGCGTGTGGGAGAGATCTCGCACGTGATCCCTTCCGCCTGCCCTCCCTCACCTGCTTGGCGGCTCTGGCAACCTCCTCGAGCGAAAACTGACCCGAGCCATCCGAGTCCCACGACTGTCAGAACGCACGCACACAAGACAGGACGTTGACGACGTTCCTTCGCCCTCCTTCTGTCCTTTCATGTGCGTGGCGTACCTTGAGGATGTTGACTATCCGGTCGGATTCTCCTCCGCTGCCCACAGCCACCTTGAAGGCTTCAGTACGGGTGCTTGGAGGCTCCACTTTGGCCATCGTCGCTGGTTGATGCGACACGTCAGATGCGATTGATTCTAAGTGTTTGAAGGGTGATGCGGAAACGCTGACAGACCGTTGGGTGATGGGGAAACTCACAGAACGCTTCGAATGACTTGCGCAAGGAAAGGAACCTGAGAAGGGTAATGTGAGCTCACGATCGCGAATCTCGACGAAAAGCCAACAGCTCGCAACCGAAAAAGCCAATCCGACAAATTGCTGGGGCTTTGACGTCGCTCGCAGTCGATTTGTTCCAAAATACGTGATGCAGAGGCCGGAGGCTCTCGTGTGCGCCATTGTTGAGGAGATCCTCCGGTCTCTGGGTGTCCCTGGTGGCTCACAGGACAAAGCACAGGTGGGCAGAGGCGGCTCAGAGCAGCGCAGCACCAGCTGCCACGGTCTGCAGAAGAAAAGATCCCAGAACATCGTCTCATATGGTGCTCTCCATGCAATGCATTCGATGTAGGGGCCCTTGGGCCAGCTCGAGGGCTGTTTGAGCCGGCTCAAGGTCATTCTGGTCAATGCCAATGAGAAGGAGGACGACAAGTACGTAAGCCCAGCCCGCATCGGTGCATGATGCATGCCGGGACGTGTTTGCCATTGCCCTTTCGCAGGTATCGCAGGATCCGCCACTCCAATGCGGCATTCCACTCGTCGGTCGGCAGATGGAAGGTCAGCCAGCCGGCCAGACAGCCAGGGAGCCAGCGAGACACTACAAGGAGACGGCGTCCCTGTTGTATTGCTTGTCGGCTCCTCTACCATGCAGACTGCTGTATCGTTCCTCAAGAGTGCTGGCTTCCAAGATGTGACGCTGGTGCGCAGAGAGAGGCCTCCACACACGCCGAGAGAGGTCCATCCACCATTGATTGCATGGCATATATGCGTGTAGGATGGGGAGGCCGTGCTGAGGATGCCATTCCGGCTGCCGTCGTCCGTCATGAGCTTCTTCGTCAAGCCCATCGATGCAGCCCTCGCCAGCATTGCTGACAAAGCCGATGGGGCGACGACTGCCTTGCCCGTTCCTCAGGCCATGACGGACTCGTCCACCTGCATATCGCGGCGACAGACCACTGAAGACTCCCTGGTGCCAAGCGATGCTTCACCACTTATCGACAGAGAGGCGAAGGCCCCAATGAAGGAGGAGCCCACATCTGGGGCACAGGAGGCTGACGAGGGGACAACAGTACCTGATGCACCGGCTGAAGCTGCCGAGAGAGAGCCGGTGGCCGTTGCTGCTGACGAGACACGCGAGCCCGAATGCCGTGAGAAGATATCCCCACACAAGCCTCCCTCAGTCCCGATGCTACCAAAGTACATGGAGGCTAATGTGACCAAGGCCGCCACACAGAGACCGGAGGGAGGAAGTCCACCTGTGTCGAAGAGGGGCGGAAGGGGAGGGGCGCGGCAGCACCAGGGGGACAGACCTAAGGGCGGCCCCCCTCCCCAACTGCCATCCTGGAGCGTGCGAGGCAATATGCACATCAGCGGCAGGAGCGGACGGAGGAAGAGACAGGAGAGAGCTGCTCAGGAGATGATGGCCAATGTGGAGAGGCAGCAGTGCCGCTCTTGTGGAAGGAACTTCCACCCTGGTGAGAGACGGAAGAGAAGCGCCGACATAGTATGCTCGTTTCTGTCTCTTTTTCTGTTATGTGAACAGAGGTCTTCCGCGTGCATGCGGCCAAGTGTCGGGGAGGCAAGAAGAGATCACAAGACAGGCGACCGGCAGGAAGGAGTGCGGGGGTGAGAGAGACAGTGTCCTGACAATGTCCACCGAATATTGTGTGTCCGTTTGGCACGTCAGTTTGACGACTTTCGTCATTATCTGAGGGGCACCCCCGCCCAGGAATTCTTGGAAGTGATCCACGAGGAGCAGACGTGTCTCAAGGTCCTCCGCGCCCAGCACAAGGCGCGCATGAAGGAACTCTTCCCCGAGAGCTTCCTGCCACCACCCGCAGCTGAAACAAAGAAGCCTCCTGCCGTCACTGATGAGCCGCAACTGCTTCCCGTGGCTGCTGTGACAAACCCCTGGGATTATGCCGGCTCTCTTACACCAAAGCCTGATCTTTCCACTCAGCAAGAAGAGGGCATTGAAGAGTATGGAAGAGACAATATGATCGAGTGTGCGGCGGATGACGAGCAGCATGAGGAGGCTATAATTGAGCTGGGGAATGATGAAGGTGATGCATCGTCCCCGATAGTTGACTTGCAGAGCGACTCGGAAGATGGGTCAGGGGAAGACAACGACACAAGCCTCCACGAAGAAGATATGAAGGCAGACGCTGCTCCCCTGCTGCACGAGCCAGTCAGTGAGGCCCAGCCGAACAGGGACATCAACAGCGACACACGGACCGCTTCCAAAGAAGACCAAAACGCTGATGAGGACGAGCTGCAGCAGATCGAGCCACAAGATGAAAGCGACCAAGGCCCTTCGGGCAAGATCTCGCTAGCCGACAGCAACGCCCCAGCTCACCAGCTCGAGATGGAAAGCAAAAACACTCTTGAGGAGAAGGAGCAAAGCTCGACCAAAGAGGTCCCTTGTCCTTTTGTTTGCGATTTGAATGCTCCGCCAGCTGCTCATCATCAGTCTTGGCGAGACATGATCCCGATGCGGTCAAATTTGTACCCCAAGAAGCGGCCGCCTCGTCTTACGGCCAAGAAGCATTACAGCTTCGACCCCTTCACCGACTCACGGCCGACCCCCATCAGCAGGCGGACGAGCCATCTGGGAAAGGCCGAGACAGAGTCGCTGCAGTCAGCCGCAGCATTGGGGGACGAGGAGGTCGGCCGATCCTCTGATGCCGAATCACCAGCCGAAGACCTTGTGGCAGAGACGAAGGTGGCGAAGGAGGAGAATCCTGAGACACATACCCCCCGCTTCAAGACTCAGCGCCCCACCCGTGAACTAGATGTGGAGTCAAACGGAGAAGCGGCTGGTGATTCGGAGTCTCAGCCGGGTGTGTCTGCCCCAGACGGATGCACTGGACAAGAGCCGGGCGTGCAGTCCCATTCTGAGGGAAATGCTAGGCGAGAACCAACACCAAAGGATGAGGCACCCCCGCCCACGATCTCTCTGCTGCCGCCTCCCTACACCAAGACACATGCCCACCTGCGGCCACGAAGGGTGCAGACGGTCTCCTTTGCTGAAAAGGTTGTCACGACGGAGCCCCTCCTACACCACTATACCAACGTAGAGAAGGGCAAAGAGGCAGAAGAGCCGCAGAAGCAACCGCCGAGGGAAGAGCATCGGACCCCTGCCCCTCCTCAGCAAGGCCCGGTGGCGGCCGAGGAGACCTGGCGAGGCTTTGACGATCCCGAAACGGAAGAACGGAAGCCCCATACCGCTGCGTACACGAGACGGACAAACTCTGCGGCCGATGTCCCCTCATTGCAACAGCGGCTCCACCCTCGGCCTCTCTCAGCCACCAACGGCCGAGCCACTCCTGCCATCTGGCCACTTTGCATAAGCCAGCCTCTGCACAGGGATGGATCCGGGGCTGAGTCGCTATATGCGGCAACGCAGATCCGTGTGCAGCATCCGTGGGGTCCAAAGGTGTCGAGGCCAGCCAGGTCGGTGTCACGCGAGCGGAGGAGGGGGTCGTTCCATGGGAGGGGGAGGAGCAGGCTACAGCGACTTGCACAGAGGAGGTGAGACACGCACCTTGCTCATCCGTGCCTTCGTGCGTGTGTGCTCTCTGCTGGCGTGTGTCTACAGGAACGAGCTGATGTTGCGATGCTCGCAAGCACAGAACAGGGTGAGCCCCATCCGTCTATCATCCATGCGGCCACACATAATCGATCCATCTGCCGTTTAGCAGGTGCAGGAGTCAGCGGCAGAGAGCGCGACAGAGTCTGTCTCGAGGCCCAACGAGGATGCAGTCGTCACATCATCAGACGAACACCACAATCCCCCTCGCAAGGATCATGTCTCACCCCTTCCTGCCCAAGAGCCGCCGGACAAGAGGGAGGAGGACCCTGACGATCCACTGGGGTGGGGCGGCGAATTCGACCACTTCCTTGGCCCATGCGGGCCCCGCGGCTTGAAGCATCGCATCACGCGTGACGACGGCAAGAGCAAAGCGACAGGAGGCGCCACCACCAGCAGCAGCAACAGCTACTTGAGCCAAACCAAGACTCTGAGCAGACAAGGAAAAAGAGCGGCGGGTGGTGTCGCTGCGAGGAAGATGTCGCTGCTGCGCCGCAAGTTCTGACGGCTGTTTGTGGTGCTTATGCGTGTGTTCGTGTGAACGCATGGGACGCTCATTCCCGTAGCAGCGATGTGAAGGGACCCAATTTCGTGACGATTGATCATCCTCCCTTCACATTGACCCTCAGTGGCATGTCTCTGGCCGTCATGTCCAATACAATTGATAGCACGAGAAAACGCGCGTCCACTTGCTCAGCAGCCCACAGACTCTCATCAGATTCTCACGTGTGGATGCGCGCACAAGCCTTCCTTGCATGCAAACTTTAGTTCTTTTGCCATCATGGCTTCAAAGGATGAGACACATGAGCAAGTCGGCTGATAGATAGCGGCCTTTGCGCTACATCCGCCCGGCACGCACACGCAGCCAGCCAGCCAGCCAGCCATTTATCTACCAGCCGATGGATGGATGGACGGATGGAAGCAGTGACACCACTTCACTTCATGCACAAACGAGCAAGCCAACAGAACGAAGCAAGACTCGACAGCACAAGAAGACTTGACTCACACAGACAAAGAGAAAGCCTCAATCCCACCGAGCAATTTTGAGGGGTACAAGCGCAGCCCGCAGCGCATGAGGCGACAAGTGATCGCTCTCCTCACCCATAACTCTATCGATCCACCTTGCCCACATTGCCCCCCACCCACCCCCACCGACCCACCAACACACCATTCACCGGAGAAATGCTCTGCTGACGTCATCCCTGACCTCGACATCTGGGCCGTTCATATTGTTCTGCCCCGACGGCCCTTGCCCCTGGCTCACCTTGAACTCGTGCAGCGGACTGATCGTTGGCGTGATCGGCTCCTGCTGCCGGTGCTGGTGCTGATGCTGCTGGTGCTGCTGCTGACGAACACCCTTCCCCTGTGGTGCTGCATGTGGGTTATGTGGATGATGGGCACCACCAGCAGCAGCGTGTGTCATCTTGAAGGTGAGCAGAGGTGGAGGGTGCCGCCGGTGGTGCAGTGTGTTGCCGATCTCCAGACCCAGCGCGTCCACGGGGTCGTTCTCCATCATTTGGTGTGTCTCCTCTGGGATGTCGAGGGCCCTCCACATCCAGCTGTGCTGGTCGATCAGCTGGTACACCACCTGCTGCGTGTCGACGTCAATGCTCGTGGCCCAACGCGACAGTGGCAGCTGACCCCACTTGGCCGCAAACATGGGGGCCGGCTTGAGGCTTGATGACGGTCCAGGTCCAGACGCAGACCCAGGAGAGGAAGAGGTCTTCTGGTCTGTTTGGTCAAGGAAACCTTCGCGAACTGGCGACCAGTGAGGGTCGTGGGAGACGGGTGGCGAGTCGGCGCCCTGCGAGCACCCCGTGCTGCTGTGGATGAACATGCACTCACTGGAGCAGAAATCACGAACCACACTCCCACACGACTGAACAGACAGAGACACAGCAAAAGCCAGAGTGACATGCATCAACACCATCTTTGCCCTATCGCCCTTCCTGGCTTGCCTACCCCAGCACACGTCTTCCAGTCGTCCCTTGCGGGCGGCAGCATGATGCTGTGGCGTCGCTGGAAACACGGACGCAGGTGAAAATACGTCTCGGACAAATCCTGGGTCATTCGTGAAGCCGCAAACAAACACATCAAAGAGGATGAGATATGCGAAGGATCATCTGCTTACCGCCGGCTCGACGTGTTCAGGATCAAAAATCCCCGGTGCCAGGAAGAAGTGCAGTCTCTCATACTCCTTCATGGGCTCCTCCCGGCACAAACCCGCCCCACAATGCCCCGGCCAGCTCCGCCTTCTGTAAACCCCCACGGCTTCCTCACGCAGCATCTTAAGCTTGTCCTCAACCTCCTCCATACCATTCTTCTCGCCAAAGACGTGCAGCAGAGACATCTTCTCGGGCGGCGGCGGGCCCTCGAGGTCACGCGGCGCACCGCCCATCGTCATCAGCTCCATCGGCTCACCCTTTGGCCGCACCCGACGAGCATACCCACCGAGGCCCACCCGTCGTTTCGCCGATTGTGCCGCCTGCACGGACGCCCACTTCTGTGCGGCAACCTCACAGACCGCCCGAAGGCTGTCGGTGGCGTCATTGAATGGAGGGGCAAGTCTTGGCGGAGGCGGGCCGTGAATCTCGGCCTCCAGCTTCGCGACTGAGGCGGCGTTCTCCGGCCCGTTTGAAGGCTGCCGCCGCATGTGGGTGGGGATGCATGCAAGCAGCTTAGTGGGGATGGCGATGTTGTGCTTGGACGCCTGGAGGATAACCGCATAGGCGCACGCGAGGAGCCGGTTGGTGAGGGCGGGGATGGCCGAGTTGAGTATGGAGGAGCCGGCCTGGATGGTGGGCGCGATCAAGTGAAGACCGCCGACCGGCTTGGCCGCCTGCACGGTAATGGATATGATCCGCTCCAGGATGTTGACGCCGTGCTCGCCCGAGTGGGGCAGGAACTCTTCCTGGATGGTCGAGGCGCTCAGATATGGGTCGGAAAGCAGCACAACCACCAGAGACGGCAGCCGGTTGGCGAGCTCGAGGTACATGGTGGGGAGGCTCCGCGGCCCCATGACGCTCTCGGCTTGTCTGGTTGGGGGAGGCTTGAGGCCGCCGGTTTGCTCCATCCTCTGGGGGTTCGTGGTTCTCTCCTCGAAGTCGGCATAGTCCTTGATGGCATACATGATGCGTGAGAGCTGCTTGAGGATGATGACAACCGCACAGGGCACCAGGTAGTCTCGATCCACATTCATGATCTTGAAGTTGTGCTGGCCCGGCGTCTCGCCGTCGTAGAAGCTCTTCTTCTTGAGCGACGGCGAGGACGGATTGGAGTTGTCCGTCGATGTGCTGGGAGCCCTTAGCGACTCGCATGTCGACCCAGGGTTGCTCCGCCACTCCTTGCAAGGGTGTTGCCGGTCCTCGCCAAGATGCCACATAAGCGACCGGTGTGCTACGCCGTCAATGTATGGCGGGAGGAGGTAGAGCAGGCAGTCGAGGAGATCGCGCGACAGAGCCAGGTGGTTGTTCTCGTGCACGGTGGGGATGTGAATCAGAGGGCACGGCCGGATAGTCGACACGTAACTCTCAAACGAGTTGGTCGACGCTGTCCCTTCCTTGGGCGACCCCGTTGCCTCGACAGAGCCCTGTGAGCCCGACCGTGTAGTGACAGTCGCGTCGGACCCCCTCCTCTGCCCCTTTTCGCGCGCCGCTCTTATACCCCCAGTGGAAAGCGGCCCGTTCTTGTTGAGGAACTCAACTCTTTGCAGGCTGAAGCCGTCGTAGCCGTCGGTGTAGGGGTCTGTCTTCTCCATATACCGCAGCTCCATGTCAAGCGAATGAAGGAGCAATAGAAGCAGGGTCCGAGGAAGACCGACGTCACACAACGTGTCCAGGACCTGCATACACGGCGGGAGGATCGGAGACAGGGTGTGTATGTGTCTCCGCCTGTGTGACTGTGTGTATTGTGTGTCTCACTTACCCTTGGCGGGCCGAAGTGAATGATCTTGAGGAGCAGGGCCGAGGCGAGTCCTCTTATCTCGATGGGGGCATTGAAGTCGCCGAAAGCGCTAAGGATGTCGGGCAGACACACATCTGCCAGACGGGTGGTAAGCTTCTGCCCACCATATGTCTCATCGATCTGCAAACAAGACAAGCACAGCCGGCGAAGCCCCTTCTCTCAGGCTGTCTTCTCGCCATTTCTCCTTTCGCGCACTTGCCTGTCCGATGATGAGCAGCAGCGGCGGCCGAATGGAACTCAGCGGCCCCACAGAGCGGCTCTTGAGTGCACATGACACAGCATTGACAATGTCATCCACATCGGACGCGGGCCTCGTCTCGTCTTCCAGCTTTATCTCCTCGGGGGCCCTCCCATCGTTGGGTCTCGGCTTGCGGCTTACGGCGCAGGTGATCAGATTCTGCCACCAGCTGATGCTGAAAGGGAGGTGCGTTTGGTGGCTGTTGCGCTGGTTGCCATCCGCATTCCCTCCTTCCTTCTGCTGCTGCTGCTGCTGCTGGTTGTGGGGCTGGTGGGGCTGGTGGGGCTGGTGGGGCTGGTGCTGTGGGTGGGCGGCATGGTGGGGAACACGCTGGTGTCCCTTATCCTCCATTCGATTGCGGCAGCCAGGAGGCAAACTGATTGAACAGGCTGGGGATGGATGGGCGGATCTTCTTCGGGAACCCAGAGGGAGAATTCGCTCCAAGACTGGGGAGCTGCTCTCGACGGTGGGTGGAACAAGACTCCCTCGTGGCCTGCACTCTTCAATCGGAAAGCTTCAGAGCTCGCAAATCTCGAGGTATCGGGCTCCGTGAAACTGCTCTCCGAATCCCGACAACTGGCGACCTTTTTGGACGTTTGAAGGTGCGTGAAGAGACTCATTGACATAAATGGTGGCACTGCATGCCATATAAGGACACTTATCGCATGCATCTTCACGTGCACGCATAGCTGATTCAAGCCGACGTCTCTGAAGTGTCATGAGCATGACGGACATGACGCTGTTGATTCACACGGCGTTGGGACCGATAAGCCAAGGCGAGTACGTCGAGGTGCAAGCGCAGGAGGGCGAGGACCAGTCGCCATGGCTGGCGCAGGTCGTCGGCTACCGCGCCGAGGACGGCATGATCGAGCTCCAGTGGCTGTACAGCGCTGCCGATTGGAAGGGATGCAACCCCGAAGACCCCGCAGCCAAATACCTCGGCGAGCGGGAGTACATTCGTGTGACTGGAGAGAACAGCCGCGACTGGAACCAGCCGGGATGCCTCAAGCGCAAAGTGACCGTCCTGCCCTACCACGAGTACCGCACCCTCACGCAGCCGCCCACCACCACATGGTTCTATCGCGTCGAGTGCGACCCCGAGGCATCCAAGTACCTGCTCGACCTGCCACTGGAGGTCTATGACCGGGCGGAGAGGGATGGGGAGGGCGATGAGAACGGCTTGGTGCTGGTGCCAAGACACCCTGACGAGATCCTCTGCCACTGCTCGGAGTCCGACCGCACCTTTCATCCGCGATGCGTCAAGGCGGGTGTCCGGCAGGCACGCCTCAAGCCCGCCCCCTGCACGCCCGACGAGGAGGTCACGTGCCCCTTCTGCAAGAAGTCCGACCACCAGCCCGACAACGCGAGCGACGCGGCACAGAGTGGTGCGGCGGATGACCAGCCACTGCCGCCGTCCAAGAAGCTGCGGCTCGATCTGCGTGAGGCCCAGAGCATGTCGGGGAGCGATGGGGGGCTCGACTCGTCGCGCCACGGGCACAGTGTGCGGTCGAGCGGGCTGACGCCGCACGATGGGCTGCGTGACAAGACGGTGGCCAAGCTGGCCAAGGCGCTGGAGGACGGGCAGAGGGAGATGGAGGGGGCGGGGGAGGCCGCAATGGCTGAAATCCGTGATGTGACGGTAAGCGGGCCGACGAGCCACACGCATTCACACTCATGTATGTATGCATTGGCCCTTCATATGTATGTTGGTTCCTGTGTCTGTCTGTCTGTCTGTCTGTCTGTCTGTGTGTGTCAGGATTTTGCTCGGTGTGTTGAGGAGGCCATGTTCGGTCACTATCAGGGCATCACCAAAGAGTACAAGGAGCGCGCCAAGAGCGTCTGCTACAATCTGAGTCAGCCCGCCAGCCAGCCAGCAACGCAACACCACACACACACACCCCTTCACAGCCACTCATGTGCTTCTCTCTCGTGTCCGTTGTGTGTTGGGTTGATTGATATGATCAGCCGGTAGCAAGTTTGCGTCGACCCGCCGCAGAGTGCTGACGGGCAACCTCAGCATCGTAGACCTGGCATGGAAGGCCGACTCCCGGGTCAGCACGCACCTTACACAAACTGCACACGCACTTGTGTGTACACGTGTGCTGTCCGCGTGTGGTCGGTGTTTGTGTGTGCAGAAGCTGGCTCCCGACGAGTTGCAGCACCAGCGCGAGGAGGCCGATCGCAAGCAGCTGCGTGACATGATCATTGAGGAGCCGGTGGCCAAGTACCGTCTCACCCACAAGGGCCTGGAGGTCATCCAGCAGGACAACAACCCGGCCCTCGCCGTCCCAGGGGCCGCCAACAACACCAACAGCGGCGACGCCAAACAGTCCCCCGCACCCTCCCCGCCCCACCATGAGGACGAGCACGCGGCCGGCATGATGGATATGGACCTGGAGGTGAGTCCCCGCATGGCCAACGGGGGTGGCGAGAGTGACAGCCTCTTCGGCAGCATGATGGACAGTGAGCTGGGCGAATCGCCAAAAGAGTCGCCCAGGGAGAAGAAGGTCAAGAAACCCGTGGCCAAGAACAAGAAGACACCGGCGGACCAGGGCAAGGGGGCAAAGAAGGAGAACAATGGCAAGGCCGGCACAGCCAAGCCGGCGGCCAACGGTGCCAAGCAACAGCAGCATCAGCCGCCCTCACATCAGCGGTCATCCCCCACACAGGCCAAGTCATCCACCGTGCTCCCTTCGCCCAAGGCGGCCAAACAGCCCCCAGCCCTGGGCCAGTCGCCCCTGTCGTCTGGTGCTGCAGCTGCCGCCCCTGCACTGCTCCACCCCGACTCTCCCGCATACTCGGACCAATCGCGTGGCGACCGGTCACTCGCACAAACCCCACGTCCCGCTGATATGCCTCCTGCCAACCCCGCCCCGCCACCCGACCGCCGCATTGACCGACAGGTCAGCAGCGGCAGCATGGGTGGGGGCCGGGATGGTGCTGGGGGTAACGCCGAGAGTCGGATGGACTGGTCGCTGGTGGCGCAGAGGGGCGGGGAGGGTGTGGGTCCCGAGCTGAGGAGCCTGGCCAAGTACGGCGGCAAGGACATGGTGGACCGGCTCAAGACGGTCTACAAACCTCTGCCTTCCACCACTAAGCAGACGTGAGCGACTACCATGGGATCAACACACACGCACGAGAAGGAGACAGTCAGGTGCATTTCTCTCTCTGTATGTGTGTATGTGTTGGTCCATGCAGATTGTGTGGGAGCGTTGATGAGTACATCTCGCAACGCCGCGCTCAGCCTTTCGACACCCCAGGATGAGGGAGGGAGGGAGGGAGCAGGTCAAGGGGGGGATGGGACGCTGCGGATGTGATGCGTGTGATCTGATCCCGTGTGTGTGAGTGTGGGTGTGTGGGTTTTGGATGAAGTGTGTGTGTGAGTGAACGAACGTTTTAAAGGAATGGCTGGATGGAAAGGCCTGCCTGCCTACCTTTTTTCTTTCTATCCACTGATCGATATGCCGCTGCCTGCCTGCCTGTCTGTGTGTGTGTGTGTGTGTGTGAGACGGCCTGATTTTGGTTGAGAGAGCCTGGCGCCGCAGCTGAGGCCGTGTACAAAGTGAGGGTGTGGACGGATGGATGGATGGATGGGCGGAGTGTGTCTGTGTGTGCACTGCAGGCGTGCATGCACACATGACATGCAGACACGCGTCACGTCCGTCCAGCTGAGGTAGATTACAGGAGGGGAGGCTGACAGACAGGAGGGCAGACAGGCAGACACTCCTCTCTACTCTTCTGGTGCTCATGTCGCTGGCTGGCTGGCTGGCTGGCTGATTGCGTGTGTGTAAGTGCGGTTACGATACATGGACTGTTGGATGGATGGATGGATAAATGGCTGATGACTCTTATGCAGCAATGCATGAATCCACTGCATTATTCTCCCACGTGCAGCTCAGTTCAACCGTTTTCGCGTCTACAGGTCCATGTGTGTGACGGCACCAATCATGACCGACCCCAAGACTATCACCCCATAGCCGCAACACAGGCGTCCAGCAGGGATGATCACCTTGAAGTCACACCCACGCAAGATGCAATTCATCTCACATCACCGACACAAAACACATCCAGAAGTCATCCCAAAACAAGACACTGAAAAACCCCGCTGTGCTGTACCTACAACCAGGACGGCCCGCCTCATCTTTCCCCTCCCCTCCCCGGTCAGCTGCACTCACTGCACATCCAGCTTCATCCATTCCTCCTGACTTTGAGCTTCTCGATGGTCTTCATGTGATATCGATGCTCGTGTTCCTCCCGCCACCATGGGTGTCGGGGGTACTGCTTGCCGAGTAGCCAGGGGGCCAGGTGCTTGGGGATGCCTCTGCTGCGGGGCGGCGGGACGGACAGCGCCTGCTTGTGCCGCGGGTTGGCGTTGCAGTCCACGCCCATGATGGGCACGTGCCACTTGCGCACAACATACCGGCACGACGGGCAGAGGAGCGTCAGAACGCCTCGGTGCCACATCAGCAACACGCCAGACAGCTGCATAGCGACAGACAGGCGGCCGGCAGCGCCTTGGGCAGTGCTGGGTGATGTTGTCGTCAGTCAGGGTAAGTCAGGGAAGCACCAGATGCGAGATTAACTGGACGTCATCGTCGCCGCCTGCAGAGATCAGCGTCGCCCTCTGAACAAGGAAACGAAGCAGCGCGTCCGTTGGCGAAGCTTGGCGCATCGGATCCGCTTACTGATCTGGAAAATCCGTTCTGTCCTCTGCATTTTGAGATTTTGAGACCGGCAGGTCAGCTGGACGATGGATGCCACCAGTGGATTGGGCCCTCGCCCACTGAAGTGTAAGGCTCCTGTGGCTACCTCCAATGTGTGTACTCACTGGGGGGAGAGTCGCAAGCTGAGATGTCCTCCCCCCGGACACCCTGCTCGCGCTTCCTGCCCTCGAGGGTGAGGGACGACACACAGGGCACACACAGGCACACACAAGCCTCTTTCCCGTCTTCTTCTTTTGCAGCTTTGTTGGCGAAGTGACCGAGAGGGAGTGTGTGGAGGTCGTGGTTGATGAGGGTGGGGAGGGTTGGGAGGTGTTTCGGGTCAAGCAGCAGTATCGGCCGCTTGAGGGCGACTCTGTGTTGGGGCGGGGAGCCTTTGGCACTGTCGCGTGAGTCGAGCAAAACAGTTAGCCGGCCACAGATGTGGGTCAAATTGTCATTCCCCTTTGTGCTTGCAGGCCTTTCTATGACACTCTCAACGACCGTCCTGTGGCCATCAAGAAGCTGCACAATCCATGCCTTGGATCCCTCAGCGCTTTGCTGTCGGCAGTGCGGGAAATCAGATGCCTCCAACAGCTTCAGGCCTCAAAGTAAGGATTGAGGAGCCACGCGACTGACCATTTCTGCTTTCCATTGTCGTGTGTTCAGGTGTGGGTCGATTCTTCGTCTGTTGGACGTGTTCGTTACAAGGGCAGAGCGCCGCAATGATGACTGGGGTGATGGTTGTGATCTTGCGTGGCGAGCGATGGAGCACCCACTCGACGACAGAGACATGTACAGGCAGAGACACATGGGATGCTACGTAAAAGAGACAGACACGTGTACGTGTCGTTGTTTTTGTGCGATCGATCCATCAGCTATCTGGTGACCGACATGATGGATGGGTCGCTTCACGATCTGCTCCACCACATCCGATGCAGCGATGGACAGCCCCTGTCAATACCAGACGTGAAGTCGATGGCCTGTCAGCTCGTCGAAGCACTCGCCGCGATGCACCGACTGGGCCTCATGCACAGAGACCTGGTGCGTAAGGGAGGCGACACCACAGCGAGACGAGTGGCCGCTTCGCCCATGTCTCTCTCCCCCTCTGTCCCTTGCTTTGTGTGCTGTTGACACTTACAACAGAAGCCCCAGAACATCCTTCTGAGGGACGATCAGCTGCAGGTGGCCGACTTTGCGTCCTGTCGGGTTACGTCTTCCCGTCTGTACGAGACACTCGGTCGCCCGCTGCCAGAGCACTCGCCCGTGCCCCCGTTCTGCGAGCGGCCAACGGATGACGACCAAGCGGGAGGAAACGTGACGCCGGGCGACCAGGTCACCACACTTTGGTGAGCAACAAGACCGACCGCCATGAGCTGAGCGACTTTGTATGACAAGCAGCACACACATCCATGTGTATTGTGGGGATTATCAGGTATCGTGCGCCAGAGGTGTTAGCGAGCGCGATGGAATACGACGAGAAGGGTAAGCAGCATGTCAATGATGTCATTTAAAGAAGAGGCAAGACAAGACAAGACAAGACACACACACACACACGCCTTTCTGCTTCCCCCTGTCCTCTCAGTCGACATGTGGGCGGTGGGCTGCGTGCTGGCCGAGATGCTGGGCGCACCACCCCTCTTCGCATCGGCAGACCCAAAGCTGCTACGTAAGTCAACCAATCCAAACGACCCAAGCAAGCAGCTCGACACACATACATGTACTCATCCATCCATCCATCCGCATGTGTGTGTATGCAGCTTTCAGCCAGCTGACGTGTATCGCCAACCTGATCGGGCCGCCGACTTCAGCAGATCTGAGATACTACGCCCAGAATGTTTCCTGCGACCACGACGCCGCCCTGGACTGGTTCGAAAGACACTGTGTGTCGCCCGCCAAGCCCCAGATGGCGCTGCACGAGGTGCTGCCTGCTGATGCCGACCCCCAGGCCGTCGACCTCGTCAGAAGATGCCTCACATACAACCCACATGATAGAATATCGGTCAGCAAAGCATCGCGTGTATTACGAGGGGCGCGCCTTTCTCTGTATGGTCTCTGTATGTGTATCCATCCTCGTTCTGTTTGCCCTTGCAGTCGTCTGAGGCCCTCCGCCATCCCTTCTTTGCTGACGTGCCGGAGACGTCGCGAAATGGCAACGAGGTCAGTGAGTGAGTGAGTGGTGAGACATGATGTGTCGCACATGACATAGTCGACCACACACAGGTGCGGTGCCTCCTGCAGACGTCGCCTGGCCTCAATCTGGAGAGCTTTGTGTTCGAGCTGACACTGGCGCCTGGCTGCACGGACCCACTGCCAGACCTCGAGAAGGCATATCTACTCAAACGTGTGTAGCGACACACACAGCAGCCGTCCAACCCACCCTGCACGAAGGCGCGTGCCAATCCAATCCATTGGTGCAATGCATGCCTGTGCATCAGATGAGCTCCTACGCACGTTGGTGTCCATCCGCCGGTTCGGTGTGAGCGGCAAGGCGCCAGACACCAACACGCTCTCGCCTCCCTCGCCGCCAAGACACTCGAGCCGCCACCTGTCAACATCACACCTTGGCGAGCCGCGATGGTTTGTTTTCAATGATTACCTGGGCGACACGCGCTCAACTGCCAGCAGCAATATCAGTGAGGCAGACGAAGGGCAGAGAGGGCGCGGCAAGGGGGGCGGGAAGGGCAGAGCGGTGGGCCAGCTGCTGCGGCGTATGGTGGGCAGATAGACAGACAGACAGATGGATGGATGGATGGATGAAAGTGCATTAGATTGTGTGCGTGTCTCTAGCCGAGAGCGAGTGTTTCTGCCTGCATTAATTCAACATGCACACCACACCACACCCGCCGCCGGCATTTCTCGATCGGGGGACCGAGTTGATTTTTCGGTATGTGTCTGTGTGTGTGCACTGCTTTGGGGAAGAAATGTATGCATGTGTGTCGACAATGAGTATGGCAGTCGAGGACGGAAATGCCCTTGACTGACCCCATGGATGGATGGGTGGGTGGGTGGGTGGGCTCTCTATTGAGAGGCTTCTCTCCGGGGTGTGTGTGTCTGTGTGAATGACTTGCATGTCGTGTGTGTGGGGAGAGCAAATGCATTGATTTAATACGTGTGAGAGACAGACAGAGGAAGGCTTCCTCCTTTCTGCTGCTGTACATGTGGGTTCCCTAATTCACAAAAGAAAGACCGAGTGAGTGCACAGTTGTTTTCGTGCTCATTTCTCGTGGGTGGGTGGGTGTGTGAGTGGGTGTGTGGTTTGCTGGGCTAACTGGGATGGTGAGTCCATTGGGAGGGACCCCAGAGGACCAATCACTGCCTGTAGGCGTCCCTACTTCGACTCGACTTGCCTGTTGATTCCCCCTGCCAACAAATCTATGCCTGTCTTTCGTTGGCGTGCATGTGTATGTGTATGTCTGTCTATTGTTCGTCAACAAGACGACTGACGATACATATGAATGCATGGACTGGACGGATAGGTAGGTAGCATCCGTGAGTGGCCCGGCCCCGTCATTCCATTGCCGACCGACTCAGCGTGGGTCGGGTCGGCAATGTCAAGCCTAGACAGACTGTGCACACATTCCAATCCATCGGCTAAGTGTGTCTCCTCCTTTTCATATGTTTGTTGGCGTGGATGCATTCACTGCGTCAACAGACAGACGACTGTTAACTGTACAACAGACAGACAGAGTCCACGCCTCTCCGTCACGTGCACGTGTCGATAGTATGTATGTATGTATGTATCTCTCCATGCCATGTGTGTACAGTGAGTACGTACGTGTGGGGTGGGGACTGCACATTCGCTCTGCCTACACTGACTGACTGCATGTTCGAACGAACGGTGCGGTGTGTCGGTCAAAACCTCTGGCTGCATGAATTGCCTGCCGCCCTCCTCTCTCTCTCTCTCTCTCTCACTCTCTCTCGTCTACGGCACGGCACGCACACACAGAAAAACCTACCACTCCCTATGTCACATCATCATCACTCATCCAGCCGCCACGCCACGCCACCCGACCAAAAACAGCTAGCTGCCCACAGGCGCACCTCATCGCAGTCATTCACTCGAGTCAGCCAGCCCCCAGCCTCTCAGACGTCTGTGTGGCGTTCCGTCGGTCACATGACGCTTGCAGCACTCAGCAACACCTGATTATTGCACACACAGACACACACACAGACAGACGCACACACACTGAGAATGGGCACGTGCATCTTCGGCTGAGGTTGCCAATCACTCACCTCTGACGTGATGCCTCTACACCGTGGGCAGTCCTCATTCTTGCCAGCTGCACACACACACACACCCACACACACACGCACACACATACATATACACCCCAGCACTACCACAGCATGCCTGCCTCCCTCTCCGTCTCGATCCCTCTCTCCACCACAGCAGAGTGCTCACCTCTCTCGTCCACAAGTGCTGCGTCTTCGTCAGCCGGCGGCATGATCAGCGGCGGCGGCCTCTTGAGCGCGTTGTGGTGCCTCTTGGCGATGACACGCGGCATCGAAGGGTCGGTCTTGTCCATGACGGGGTTGCTGATGGGCTTGTTGACGCACCGCGGCAGACAGGCCACGTAGTAAGCCGGGTCGTATGTGGGGTCGGGCGGGGCCTTGCCGAACTCAAATCGACAGGAGAAGTCGGTGTAGTTGGGTCGCATGAAGAGGTCGACGCCCATGTCTTCTTTGAAGAACTGCTGGGTGGGGACCTTGCAGCCATTCAGACACAGTGACGCACACCTGAAACACTCACACACACACACACACACAGAGAGAGAGAGAGAGACAATCACCTGACCAGATCTCACGCCCATCAGTGCATGTCAGTGCAGTACTCACCCTGACTCCTCGAGGTATCTGCATCGTTTGATGAGCACCCCCTCCCCCCTCCCCACCGTGCCGTCGTCGTGCTCCACGTCGCACACCTCGGCGTCGCCCACCAGCCAATAAGACACCTTGGTCGTGAAAAAGGCATTCAGCCTCCGCGAGATGACCGGCAACGGCTTCGCGAAATACTCGCGAAAGGCCGCCGGCAGCCACTTGGGCATCATGCCTGTTGCCCAAGAGGGAGAGGGAGAGAAGGATCCATCAGATGAATGTGGTGTCCGTGGTTTGTGTTGGCTGCATTCCGTGCATACCCGCGATGATTCGCCTGCTGGCTGCGTGGACTTGGCGCGGGTCTGGGGAGCGGAATATGACGTCGCGGACCATCTCGACTGTGCCCTTGAAGGACTCATCAGGATGCATCCACCTACACAGAACCACACACGCACACAACCAAGTGCACACGTAGACGCCGTGATGCCCGCGAGCAAAACAGTCGCCTCCCGTACCCGGCCTCCTCCGCCACTTGTTTCCTGAACAGCCTGTGCAGGAATCTGTCTGTGCGAGAGAAGGTCTCGTCACCGTCGTCGGGGCGCGGATCTGATGGACCTGTCGGCCGCTGCAGCTCCGGGATCTCAACCGGCGATACCTGCACACCACATGCGGCCATGGATGCGTGTATCCAAACACATATTTGATGCGTGCTGCATTGACTTACTCGCGGGGATGGCGTGTCGTCCTTGACCCGTGTGGTGGCAGCCGACAGCCTGCTGTTCCATCTCCTGCGCAGAGGGCTGAGATCTGCAGGGCCTTGCCTGAGTGGCGGCCGATGAGGCGCGAATGCTGCTGACAGCAGCCACCGACGTGCAAGCAGCAGCCTGAGGACGGTCAGGGAAGCTGTGAACAGTCGTGCCGTAAGGGACGACGCCTTCATGACTGTTGCAGAGGGCGGGTTGGAGTGCTCAGATTTTGAGCGTTAACGTAACGGAAAGCGACCAGAACGTCTGATCTTGAGTCTACCGTATCAGGAGAGTGCTCAGACCCCTCTTTCCATGGCGAGCTTTCTCTGCGAGCTTGAATGTGCGATGAAGCAAACGACTTAGTCGGCTCGCGGTGCTTTCCTCCAGGCGAGCGCATCTGTTGGACCTACACCTTCGCTGCTGAGTCCTCAGATCTCCCTTTTGGCGACAAATCTCTTAGCCTCGGCCATCGCATCTTCGCCTGAGCCTCGAGATGAGGAGTGGCGTTCGCCTACCCCTACTACCCTCCGACTGCTCCTATTTGATCGCATTTCGCCCCATCTCCCTCGTTGTGGCCGTGCTGCTCTTTCTCTCGAGGCCGCTGCGGCCATCAGCATCGAGTGCATATGACCGCTTCCACGACGAGGCGGACGCCAAGACTTTCTACGAGCAGCACATTGACGACAAGATCGTCCCTGGCGACCTCGAGAGCGTCATCAAGCGGGGCTGGTTTGACCTCGGGGCGCAGCTGATCCTCAAGTCGCACGAGCAGGGGCTGGACATGGCTGCCGAGGTGCGTGCTGCGGTGGCTGAGGTGCGCAAGCAGGCCGACGAACTGATCCGGCTGCTCAACAAGCAGCACAACGACATCCAGGTGATGTCACCGGCCTTCCAGTGGGCGCAGAGCGCCAACCATATCTTCCTCAACATCAAATTCGCATACCGGTTCAACTCGCCCGGCGCCCTCTCGGTGGAGAATGAGAACGTCACGGCGACCGACTGCTGCTTCTACTTTTCGGGCATCGGCACACACAGCTACCTCAAGAAGAAATACGAGCTCAACCTGGTGCTGCACGAGCCCATCGACCCCAGCAGCACCGAGTGGTCCTTCGGGTCGGTGGGCAAGCTGACGGTGACTCTGAAGAAGCAGCGGCCGACCAAGTGGAAGCGGCTGACCAAATCGACGCAAAAGATCCCAAATATGCACGTGTGGTGGGAGATGAAAGAAAAATACGCGGCAGAGGTCAACCGGCTCGACGATGACGACGACGACAAGAGCACCGCCGCCAACGCATCAGCGGCAAAGTCTGCTGCTAACGGCAGCAGCAGCGGCAGCAAGACCCCCCCGGCACAGACAAACAACAAGGCAGCAACACCACCATCCTCACCACCGTCACCCATCCTGAGCCAGCAAGACAGCGGCAAGGGCGACGAGAGGGCAGCAGAGCCGCCATCCACACCACCAGAGAGCGAGCGGCAGCCTCAGCGGAGGGAATATGACGACGAGGCAGAGGAAGAGGAGGAGGAGCTCGAGGAGCCCAATGGCAGTGAAGACGATGAGCCCTCACAGCTGTCACAGGACTCACTGCCGCCAGTGAATGGCAAGGCGGCCAAGGACGAGCTGTGACGAAGCTGTCACGGGCAAGGGCAAGGTGAAGGAGGGGGAGGGGGAGGGAGGTGGGAGGGGCG